CCAAAATATGAATTACTGTGACATCTCTAATTATTATTTATTTAATTTAAATTATTTACATGACTGCCCATTTTTCAGTAGCGACTCAGGATGGTGTATCAGATTAAAACAACAATTTAACAATCTAAACTGACAACGTCTAGGTCAAAACAATCATCCCAACTCAAAAAATATATAATCAGCAGAACTTGCCTAACTTGGCTTCAATGCTTGGAGGAACAGTCAGGTCTTCCATGTCTTTTAGAAGATCGGGGCCATCTGATTTCTGGAAGGATGTGTTCCATAGGACAGGCACTGCCGCAGAGAAGACATGATCCCTGACTCCAACAACATCACATTGGCTGATGGAAGTGACCTAGAGCATTCCCTCCCTGTTAGATCTATTAGATCAAGCAGAAACATTGACAGAGACGTGGCCCTAAGCCATGTATGACTTTATGGGGTGATAAGCAGAATTTTGAGTTATATCGAAATGCTCACCACAAACAGGTGAATGATTATGTTTCTATAGCTTATCTTAATAAAATGCAGGTAGTCCTCATATAGTGACCACAATTGGAACCAGCAGCTCCCAGTCTTAAGCACGTTAGGCAAACAGCTGGTCCTAGTGCATTCTTGTTGATGTGTATCCCCCCTTGCGGGCCTGCTTACTCTCTTATAATCTCCAATTTCTTGGCTCTGGGAGGGTGAGGGGAGAAAAAAGAAAAACAGATCAGACACAAGTCTACGTATATTAACTGACTGTAATGGCAAACACATGACAGAGAGACAGAGAGAGAGATGCAGTGAAGGTCATAATTGTACATCTTGATTGCACAGTTATTTTTTCAGCAGTGATGTAACATCGACAATCGCTGAGGAAAGCAAATTCTATCTGCAGTCTTAATGCTCTTTAAAGTTGGCCTCATATAGAAAAATCCAAACAGGAAGCGACAAACTTTTGGAAAGACATCCCTCTCCTCTAGCCATGGCTACCACTTACGTTTTGAACAAGAGCCAGATATTCAGGAGGGCCTCCAAATTGCAGACCAACTCAAATTGCGGAACTGTGCCTCTAGGCAAAATGAAATGGGAAAATCCCCAGATGTGTGGGCTTTAAAACCAACAGGCTAACGATGAAAATAAAAGACAGAGAAGATTCAATTTATTACAGGGCCTGGGATGTCTAGTATGAGTGGTTTAGAAATAAGAAGAAACTAAAATGGCAATTAGGAAAAGAATGAGGGAATATGTAAATATGTAAATATACCATGGGGAAGATTGAGATGTAAGGATAAAAGATACTGATTTATATTAAGAGTAAGATGTAATGGTAAAGGAATAAGTAAATACATATACTGGAAAATGTGAGGAGATGCAAAAGATGTCTTGATGTTGATAACAATGTATAAAGTTTTATGTTTTTAAAATTTGGAAACTTAATAAAATTTATTAAAAAAATAAATAAAACCAACAAGCACCAGGACTTGTGCCAGGTGCGAACAACCAGGGTGACATGTGAAGAGTTCAATTTACTGTTTTATTGCTTAACCTTATACCTAGGAATATTCTCAGACTAATGATTTACGCCTGGGTAAAACTAGATAAGGTTCAATGGCATTCAAGGGGGGGGGGGTTGGACTTTGCCCTCTTATAACTATCTAGATTCTAAACTAATCCCCCTCTTGGTTTCTCCCCATGGCTCTCCTAGTCTCTCTCCAACATCTTGCTAGGATTGAGCCAAAGCCTGTCTTCTTCCATCCAAGCTCCAACAATCTGCAGCCACTGGAAAAAAACCCTTGGCAGTATCATATGGTTGGCCCAAGGCAGAGATGTACAATTGGGTATCATCAGTATCATCATACTGCATCTTGTCTTGATCAATGATCTCACTTAGTAGCTACATGTAGATATTAAACAGGAGCAGGAAGAGTAGAGACCTGAAGCACAAAGCAGGGGCTTGATGCTCAATCTCCTCCCCACCCCACCCCACCCCCACTCAACACCTACTGAAAAGAACTATTTCAATACCACATCTCATACTTTCAGCCTCCTGTTACCATGACTGATGGCACTGAAAGCTGCTGAGACATCAAGAAGGGACAGGATAGATATACTACCTCCATTTCAAGCCTGCCAAAAGTCATCAATAAAGATAATCAGTGCCATCTTAGTGCTATGACAGCCACTGGTGGCATCCAATTATTTAAAGTACTGATGAATGTAGTCTTACATGCTGATAGAGGAATGAGAGTTGTAATTAAAATATGATCGTTGTAGATGAACAATTGAATAATATACATTAAAGCAAAACATGCTAATTTCATATATGCTAGGAGTGTCAAACTCAATTTGAGGGCTGCATCAGGGTTGTGTTTGACCTCGGGGCCCTGAGTGGGCGTGGCTGGAATGGGCATGGCCAGCTCGATGTCACTTGTGTTGGGGTGCCTGTGGCGGCCCGAACACTCTGCCAGGAAAAACAGGTTCCTGAACTCTGTTTTCGGCTGCAGCGGCCTCCTGCAACCCTCTGCCAGTGAAAACGGAGCGCATCCATGGCCCTCGTGAGCTCCATTTTTGCTGGCAGAGGCACTGCAGGCCGGTCCTTTGCTATTTCCAGGGCAGTCCCACAGGCCAGATCTAAGCACCCCAAGGATTGGATCTGAACCCCAGGCCTTGAGTTTGTCACCTCTGCCCTATGCAATGGGATCTAAGATATAACAGACTAGAAAGGGATGTTGAGATTATGATTACTTGTGACTCATATTGGCTGTAAATCTTTCTTCACCAAGCTATCATCAATACACAAATCAGAATTAGCATTCCTGGATATTTGTTTCTCCATTATAATAGACCAACATACACTTTCTAGGGGGCTTCATCTGTTTCTGGAAGTGAATTCTCCAGGTGTGGAACACCATAAACCATTTATTCTGGATAACTAACTTTTAGAAATATACTGTTCTTGGAGTACTTGAAATTGCAGTTCCAGAGGAAAAGTTCAAGAATAGACTACACTCTTAGCACATCTGTAGTAGAAATAGTTTGATGAAAAAAGGCAAATTCCTTATTGGAGGATTTCAGGAAATGAATCACTTAATAGAACTGATTCTAACTGCAACCACACTTTAAATACTGTGGAGTTCTGATTACTGCACATCAAAAAGGAAGATAAATTACCAAAGGTGCAAAAGAGATATTCAAATGTCAATCTCAAGAGAGTTCTTAGTGAAAACATATTAGTAATATTTGTTGTATTATGACATATAGCATTTGGGGATGAAAACCTTGCTATCCCCAGGTTTGAAAAACCAAAGATCACTAGCTACTAATGTGTATCCTGCCATGGAAAAACTACAGCTTTTCCAGCCTGGCAAAGGACAAAAATAAACACTGCTGTTTTTCTATTCGTAAAGCCAGAGTTTAACTGTAGGTGGTATCCTTGATAAAAAGGTGTTTTTGAGACAACTTGCCTGACAAAGAATTCTGGAGAACTCAAAAGCTTTTTTTTTTTGAATTGGGAGGGGGGAAGGAAATCATTTTGGGCCTGAACAAAAATATCATTCTACAAGGGTTTTGGGATTACTATAATCCCTGTGCTATATCTCACTTTATCGATTGCTTCTGATTAAATTGTCAGAGAGGTAGCTGTGTTAGTACTTTGCAGCATAAACAAGGGAAAAAGACAGTACTAGACAAACTAGGCTATTGCATACACATGTTCATTTTATCAGTTGCACTTGCAGGACCATCTTCCATACATCTCATTAGGTGACTTCGAACTACACAATCTTAGGCAACAATACATTTTGTAGGCTCAAAGTGTTGCAAGTTTCTTGCTTTTGCTTTATAAATAAATTTCAAGCTTCTATAAAATGTGAGGTGTTGAGGGGCATAGCCTTCAGCAAAGATGGTCACATTTTGATATAACCAGACAAAAAGAGGATATCCAGATGGGTAGTAAAGTTACAAGATGTTTGCAGAATCTCTTAGTTTAGAAAAAAGTTGGTTTCAATTTCGCGTCAGTTGTGCTACAAGATGCCATCTCTCGAATTAATAGCACCTGTCCATCTGTGCAACACAACCATCAGTCAATCTGAATAGAGCTGGAAGGGACCTTGGAGGTCTTCTAGTCCAACCCCTGCTCAAGCAAGAGACCTTATACCATTTCAGACAAGTGACTGTCCAGTCTCTTCTCAGAAACCTCCAGGGATAAAGCACCCACAACTTCTGAGAGGAAGCTGTTCCACTGGTTAACTGTCCTCACTGTTAGGAAGTTTCTCTTTAATTCCAGGTTGCTTTTCCCCTTGATTATTTTCAATCCATTGTTTCTTGTCCTGCCTTCGGGTGTTTGAGGAAATAAGTTGTCCCCCTCCTCTTTGTGGCAACCTCCCAAAGAGGAGGGGATATCCACAATACCATTACCCACGAGTTACTGTTTGCGCTCCAGCGACGTTTTCCTCTCCTTGAAAAAATGGGATCTTGTCTTCGAAGTAAATAGCTAATCGCTAAAAATCCACTTCGGGGTGCGCATTATTTAATCTTAAACCTTTCTTCTGTTTGGTCCATTCGCTACTGGATTGGCTCAGGAGGGAAAAAAAATACTACTTTTGTTTCAGGTAGGTTCTTTCCCCGCTCTCGGACCGCCTCCCTCGGCTCGGCAAAAGGCCCGAAGGCTTAAACAAAACCCTCTCCCCCGCCCATCTCCCTGACTGGCTTTCCGCGTGCAGCTCCTATTGTCCCGCCGCATTCTAACTCCAAAGGCCCCGCTGTTCATCGCCGCCTTGGCTCATTGGGTTGCGTCGGTTTGATTGGCCGGCCGCGTGACCAATAGCCATCGGTTTCCAAGGGGTCCTCTCGCCCCGCCCTTCGCAGCGCTTGCCGTAACAATATGGCAGCAGTTGCTATTGGCAGGATGGCATCGTGAGAACCGCGGCGGCGGCGGCGGCGGCGGCAGCGGCTCTGCAGTTGGGGAAAAAAAAACCCACCGTGTGCCTGCCCTTCTCGAAGATCTCCGGTTGCTGCGAAGATCTCCGGTTGCTGCGGCAGTCCTGTAGGCTGCAGCGTCCGATCAGTGCCTCTTTGGCGGGCAAGAAAGCAATGCTTGGTAGGTACATCGCTATGCAGTGGACTGACTTGACTGGCCGAATGAATGAATGAATGAATGGATGGATGGATGGATGGACGGACGGACGGAAGCTCCGGGAAGAGAGAGAGAAGGAGACGCAGAGAGAGCACCCCCGCTTCTCCTTCAGTTTCCCCGTCTCTCCTTTCCCCGCTTCCCTAGCGCAGATACGAGTGAGGCTGGCCTGCGCCGTGTATTGTACGCATTTCTCAACCGAGCACGCTGAATGGATGTTCGTCGGAAAGGAAAACGCTCCTGAGGAGCGGGTGGCCGAGGAAAGGTGCTGGGTGATCCGGCAAAGAGAGAGAGGATCGTGTGCGAGTGGATCTGGCGAGCGGGAGGTATGCCTACCGCAGAAGAAGCCCGTTTTACCCTGTCTTTGCAATCGGATCCCCTGTGGCTGATGCCAGTTTGGCGTGGAAGCCTTCCGTGCTCTCAGATCTCAGCCTACATACAGCCTTGCCGGCCGGGGGGGAAAGCTTAACAAGCGGGATAAAAAGGTCGGCATAACCTCCGCTGCCGGGCTGAAGCGCGATTGTGGCCGCTCGGCACAACTGCCAGAAAACAAATATTCGCATAATAGTGGCGGTTGTGGGGGCTGGGGAAGGGAGCCCGAGAGGCAGAAAATCGTTCTTTCGGAAGGGCATAATTGCACAGATGGTTCCGAAGGAGCCTTAGTGGTAAACGTCGTCTTATTTGCACTTCAAATGGTTGGAGATCAAAGCCAAAAAAAAACTACTCGGGGGAGATAGCCGATGCTATCTAACCTGGGACATATCTGTGAATAAATCCCATTAAACTCGGGGTGGGGGGTATTTCTTTATAGATGGGTAAGACCACACGGTTTAGGATTGGCTCATTGGTTTGCTTATATGTGGCGCTTCCTGGGTTTTGGGGTAAGAGGCTCTTGAACAATTTCACTATTGAATTTGTCACAGCAATTTGGGATACCTGTACTTACCTGTGCAGGGGGTTGGACTAGAAGATCTCCAAGATCCCTTCCAGCTCTATTCTGATTGATTGATTGCTGTTGAAGTCTCCTATCTGCTTTGAAAGGAAGGGAGTGGGTTAGTTTGGGTCAGAAACCTCCTCTTTGGGCATATATTAGTGGATGGATTGTGGATCTTGTTGCTGTCCTCTAAGAAATGTGGATGTCAAATTGCTGAGCATTTAAGTTTATGTTGGCAAATTCCAGAGGTTTCTTTCCTAATCAGCTATGTACTTGTGCATGTGATCATCTTCAATGGTCAGTTTAGACAACAGTAGGATTCCCTGGGATCCTCTGTGTAAATTCAGCTTACTATATGAAATGAGTTGCATCTCATTTTTGGAGTCATAAGTATTACTGACCTACCTATCTCACAACTCACGTGTCTTTCTTTTACAAAACCTATTGCTGTGTTGGTTTGTTTTCAGTTCTATAATACTATATCAATGAATCCATTTTATCAATAGCTCTAGAAGATGAATGTCATGGGCAGTAATAAGATTTAAAAATTAGCATAAACTGGCCTCTATCTCACTTGAAAGATACTTTTTAACACAAAAGCACAGAGATAATACTACATGCTTTTGTAGATGCCAAGCCACTTTATATGTTCTCAATATATTGTTTAAAAAGGAGTTGTACAATCTGCAGAAGTATATTTTCACTTTTGCTGCTTAGTATATTCTGTGTTGTCCAGCCTATTTTCAGATGAAGTTTCCAGTGTTTAAGGATCATATTAGTTGCAGATGGTCTAGTGCCTGGATATGGATATTGGGGCGGGGGGGTGGGGGCAGAGGGTAAGGGAACAAAGAGCAGGAAATATATCTATTGCCACTATTTTCCCTTTCCCTGTTGCACATCATGCTAACCTTTTAGGGTAATCATAGTTGAAAAAGCCATTATTGTTTGGGTTCACAAAATAACAAGATTTACAGATAATAGCAGCTAAATTAATACACAACCCAAGATTGTGGACATCATGTTATAGTTTAGAGGAGTGTCTGAATTGAATAATAAAATATTGTCTAGTGTTGCAAATTCTCACAATGTATAATCAGAGCATTTTAATATTTATGTTCTATAAATCTGTGTTTGCAGAATAATGTAAAAGGCTAATCTTTCAGACTTAGTTGAGATGCAGGAATGGCATCACAATCTATACACTACTAAAACTCTAGTGTTTGTATCCTTTAATTGGGGAAAATTGTGCATAAAATGGTAACAATTTTGAAGCAAATGGACTAACTTACAGAATGTGTCCCAAATTTGGAACTCATGACTCTTATGGAATTGAAATTTGGCAAATTTTGTAAAACATTTTATAACAAAACCAGATACTGTTAAAATGCTATGACATAATACAAAATGTCATAAAACAGTTCCTGTGGTCAGCTCCTGAAGTTTGACTGTGCTACTTTCAAGGCAGATACATCTCTGAAAATCTCCCTGACTTTTAAAAAACTTTTCCATAACGTTAGAAGCTCTACCATTGTTGAAAGCCATTGAAGAATCTGGTAAGGAAATATCTCTGAAACAATGACCCAATGGGTCAAGAGTTATCTAGTATTTTTTAAAGTCTAATTGCCTCAGCTGCCAAATAATATTAAAAAAATGAAGTGTTTGATATTTTCACTGCATGATATTGCTACCCATTTCTGCTATAAAAAGTCTCTAGATAAAGTCTAGTTGCCTCAGTTGCTAAATAATATACAAATTACTATTTTTGGTATCTCTATTGCATGATTTTGTTATCTATTAAAAGTCTTTAGATAAAGGGCAACTTGGATGAATGAGTTTCGGATTATCGTTATACCGGAGCAGGTTTTACAGTATTCAAAAAAGACAAACTCTCTTGACAGAGTATCTGATAAGAAGTTCACTGCTTCTTGTGTTCCACTTTTATCTAAGTCCCAAAGCTGACTGAAGTCTGTTATCAGTATAACAATATGGGGGAAGAGATAGCCTATTGTGCAGGGAACAAGTGTTGTTTATGAACAGTATGTAATATTTAGCATAAAACAGCCAATGTGGGCTCTCTTTCCAGAAAATTTTAGATAAACAAGATAGCTTCCCCCTTATGTAACATATAAGACTGAATTGTCAGATGGTATTTATTTATCAGACATTGTCAGATCCAGTGAAGCCTATTTGTGGAAGTAGCGCTTTAGTGTCTCTTGAATTTGGCTGGGTGCAGAAACATCAGCAAGATAGAAAAGTGGGGGAAATATGAGACATGGGTCAGGTGTCATGATGTATGTTTTGACATCTAGTTGGTTATGGATATTGCTGGCTTGGCTCAGACTGGGCTAAATGGTAAAAGATTTCACTTATCCTGGTATGTAAACTCAGATACTTCTATTTGTAATCAATGTTTTATGACTTTCCTTAAAATATGTGAACTATTATATTTTTCAATGTCAAGAACTTCCACACCCTTTTGTAAGAGTTTAGATATCAGAAATGGTTGCATGATGACCTGAATGACTATTATGAAGTGTTGTACCTTATGATTCTTGACGAATGTATCTTTGATGTACACTGAGAGCATATGCACCAAGACAAATTCCTTGTGTGTCCAATCACACTTGGCCAATAAACTATTCTATTCTATTCTATTCTATTCTATTCTATTCTATTCTATTCTATTCTATTCTATTCT